TTAAGTGTTAAGTGACTCATACTTGTGGTCTCAAACATATTCATCCTTTGAATCTATTTGGATTTTTTTTCCTATTTGAATTTCTATACTTAAATTGACAACAAGCATTGCTTACCCTTAGATTGGAGATAAACTTCCTAAACATTGATTATGATGTGTCGATTCTTATTTTGTACCTTCAATATTCCAAGAAGTTGAAAGGGAAAAACAATCTATTAAGATATCCCAGTAGGTTTCAGAGGAAATATGAACTTTATTTAAAAGCATCAATTTTTACACTTTTCTAATAATCTGTTTTTCTGGAAATAGACAATGTTGCCTCAGATTATAAATGGAATTACATTTAAGATATTCAGTAACAAGTTCTTTTCTGTTCTGAGTTTTTTTTTCTGTGAAATGTATTGGCTTCTTTGTAATGCATTTTGGGGCTTATACCAGTAAAAATATATTATGGTTTGATTAGCATAGATAGAGATGATCTATTCAAAGTTAGTTTGATTCAGTATTGCATGTGACCTAATATGACACATGTTACCCTTTCTTTGGAGGATAGATTATTTCTTAATGGAGGATACATTATTTCTTAATGGAGGTTGATTATTTCAAAGTTGGTGGTCACTTACATGAGCAAATTTGTGTATCACAGTTTAATTCACAATTGGAAAATATTAATTTGTCATAAACAACAATATTTAGAATATTGCATTTTGCCACCATGTTTTGTATAGAACTTTTCCTCTTGCTTTTCAGAACCCTGTGTCTTCCAGTTTAAGAAAATAAAAATTAAAATGGCCTCTATCTTCAGCTAAATGAGGCTTTTTCTTTACAAATAGTAAAAGAACCATGAAATATAATTCTGTATGTTTCTTGCTATTTACTTCAGTCAGAAAATTAAGACTTCGTAGATGCTTTGAAGGGGTGAATGTGGAAGGTCATAATACAATGGTTTTTGAAAAATGTCCTCCATAAAATGTTCAGAGTTGTCTGGAGGACTACTGACTTTTTATTTTTCTCCAGTTCAACTTCGTTCTAAATTAACCTGACCCTGAGTTGTATGGGAAGTTTTGATATCAGAAAGTATTTGACTTTAATATTCATTCTTTCAGGCTTTCCAGGTGGCACTAGAGGTAAAGAACCTGCCTGCCAATGCAGGAGTCATAGGAGATGTAGGTTCAATCCTTGAGTCAGGAAGATCCCCTGGAGGAAGACATGGCAACTCACTCCAGTGTTCTTGCTTGGAGAATCCCATGGACAGAGAAGCTTGGCAGGCTGCAGTCCATAGGGTCACACAGAGTCGGACATGACTGAAGCGACTTAGCACACACACTTTGATTCTTTTATGATTTCACAGAAAGGGTCTCTGCTTCCATACTGCCTCATAGAGCCATCACCATCTGTTTAAATAAACACTCAAGAATCTCTCTAAATTCTCAATGTTTAGGCAATATAATTTTCGAGATAGGAATATTTTAATTTTTTATATTGTATTTAATGTTATTAGTACACATCCTTTCAGTGGGAATGGAAAGAAATTTAGGCAAGTCTAGGTTAGCTTGATTTTTCTTTTCAGATGAACAGCTTGCAATGCCCCACAAATGGGTTGTCCTAGTGGATGCAGGCCATTGTGTGACAGATCTGTACCTTAGCTGGCTGACTGGCATACAGGAATCAGCAATCTGTGAAATGGCTCTTCAGAAGTAATTTTTCTCCGAGGGTCAAGGAACTTGCGGTTGTCATTTCACTGAAATGGTTTTGCTTCTACTTGCAGTCCTGTCACCAGCAGCAAACACAAAAACTGAAAATGCAAGGTGACTCCTTGTTCATTTTTCATCCTCCCTGCCCAAGTACATTTCTTGAACATCATTTCAGTATTACCTCCTTTTGTCTACCTCAGTGAAGTTTTGAATTTGTATGTGAGGTTTTTATTTATGAATTAGAGCCTTGCTAAGATTTCTCTTTTAAATAGGTCATAATACTATATATAAAAATGTCTTGAACAGAGGAACATGTGTGTAGAAGACTATGTATTAAAGAAGACTTTGTTTTTAGTCTAGTGAGCCTTAAAGGTGAACAAAGGTTATGCAAAGTGAAATCAGCTCTAGTTATAATTAGCTCTGTCTGTTATAAGGTTGAACCAAGTTATCTACCTCCATTTTCCCCCATTACTCTTTAAACTTCACATAGCTTCTGGAGTGTTATTGTTGTTATCATTATTATTAATGATATTGTGTGCCTTGAATTGGATCATACTCCTGGATAAAACCCTTTAATGACTTCATACAATGATAGACTAAAACCTAAATGTTTTATGGCATCTAAAAATCTCATATTTAGTTTGATTCTTTTTTGTCCCCTGCATACTTTTCATTCTCATTATGCAGAATTGAGATTCTTCAGCATCTCGTGTTTCTTTAGATTTGTTCTGCCCTTGCCTTTGCTTTTCCTCTAATTTCAGTCCCACTTTCATTCTGGCCTGCCACATCCTTACTCACTTTTGTAGGGCTGACTCCATGAAGCCTTCCAAAACCAGCTCAGGGATAGCTAGCCAATTCATTTGTCATTTGTGTTCTTTGCGGCTCTGGTCGTACTATTATCGTCCCTTGTTGTGTTGTTTAGTCGCTGTCATGGCCAACTCTTTTGCCACCCCATGAACTTTAGCCTGCTAGTCTCCTCTGTCCATGGGAATTCCCAGTCAAGAATTCTGGAGTGGGTTGCCTTTCCTTTCTCCAGGGGATCTTCCCCACCCAGGAATTGAACCTGCATCTCCTGTATTGACAGGTGGATTCTTTACCACTGGGCCACCAGGGAAACCCATGATCCCTTGTAACACACTGTATTTTATATATACACTTTCCCACTCATGTCTTGTCTATTCCATTCATCAGGCCAGGAATAGTATTTTTGGTATTTTTTATCATCTAGTCCAGTATACTGTATTAGTTCTTAACCTTGAACTTCAAAATTCTTTACAAAAAGATTCATAAACATCTTTTACCAAAGATTAATTCTTATGCTACATATGTGGTGCATAGATATATTGTACCTCTTAGATTAGAACTTACTGTAAATTACAAAATAAAAAAATTGTCTTTAAAAAAATTCTTTTATCACCCAAGCCACATGGACCTGGAATTTTTCCTAAGATTCTTGACTGATATGGCAGTGACGCGCAACAAATAACAGGGGTTGACCCACTTATTTTGTATAGCTACTCTTAGTTGTGATTGCTAATAACAATTCTGGAGGCTCAAATTAACAATGGCCATGAAGGACAGCAATTAAGGCCATTTGTCTTCTAAATGTGCCAATGTAGGTTCCACTGGTAGTTTAAATTTATATATGGAAGTTGCTCATACTATTATAATGGGCAGTGAAGGCCCTGAAGGTATGTGTTGCAAAGCAATAAGTCATTTTAGGGTCATGATAGCCAATTATATTTTGAGACAAAATTTCCCATTGCTATGGAAAGATTCATTTCCTAACAACCTCTTCATTGATTAATTTAAATTAAAAAGTACATCATTTTTCATGAGAGCATTTATATAAAGGCTATTTTAGGCATATTTAAATGACAGTGTTAAGACCTCAACCTGCTAAAGTTTTGTTATTGTAAAGGATTGATGTGGTCATAAGAGTGATTTGAGGATACCCAAATCATATTCCACTTTTGATAAAGGTTTTCAGGCTATAGTGTGATCTGAACATTTCTGATTTTGCCTTTTTTGCCTATAACACTGGCTTGTCTCTGTCATTGGTGAGAAATATAACTTTTATTCTCAAATTGATAAACTTTTGATGAGGGAAATGAATTTTTCATTTACTGAGAATTTATAGGCCTGAAATTTAACAGCCCCCCCTTGCCTGCTTTTGGTCAGAGAATTCACTGAGTTTCTTCACAAGGATCCCCATGGAAACTAAACAAAAAAGCTACTCGAAAGGAGACAGGTTATTGGTTTTTCTCACTAAATCCACTGCTGGATTTTCATTAGTTCTAATCCATTTTCCTTCAAGATTAGATATATAGGCCAGTTCTGGTTTTCATGAATTGAATAAGCGAAATATGTTGAGTTGTGTGTGCCTGTATATGCAGGCTGAGATGCAAAAGTAATTATTCTTCTTCTGCCATAAAATTACCCCAGAAAATAAAGCCAGGAAAAACGACTGATGTAGAGGGGAAGGGCCACCTCCATTTTTTAAAAAAGAGGTTATTAAATACAGTGGAGGTGCTGAGAGTGGTGGTAGGCTCATCTGATCAGTTTTATGCTTCATTCAGTTCTTCCCCACTTTTGTGTTATAATTGTGTGTGAAAGTAATCTAAATAAAGTATGGAAGCATGTTTCACTGACCACAAGCACTTTAGACCTTATAAAAGTTTAAGTATTTTGTTTGCTATTATGACTAGATTTCAAAGTGTTCTTTTAGAGCAAGAAATTTGGTAAAACTTAGATTTTGTGGGACTTCCCAGGTGGCTCAGGAGATAAAGAATCCGCCTGCCAGTGCAGGAACCGTAAGAGACCTGGGTTCGATCCCTGGGTGGAGAAGATCCCCTGAAGAAGGAAATGTATACTGGAGGCAACTCACTGCAGTATTCTTGCCTCAAAAATTCCATGGACAGAGGAGTCTGACAGGCTACAGTCCCTGGGGAACTTGCCTCATAAAGACAGTTTTCTCTCTTTTCCTTCCTTCCCTTCCCCCTGATAAAGCTGTTAAAAACTATTTAGATTCCTGGTGGTTTATATAGTTAAATGTATCTTCTGTTATTATTCATATTTAAAAATCTGTGCCCTCAGCCTTACTTCTGAGCCTCAAACCAATCTTTTATTCAAACAAGATACTGATAGAAGTTTCAATGTATGTGAACATTTAATGAAAGTAGTGATAGATAGAAATACTGTTTATTATTAAATTTATGAGTACCACAATGTACATTGCAATCTAATGTGTTTTCCAGCACATCTACTGTTTAGAATATAACGGTAATTCTTCTTTTCCCCTTTCAGGTGGCTGTACTTTTGATGATGGTCCTGGGGCTTGTGATTACCACCAGGATTTATATGATGACTTTGAATGGGTACATGTTAGTGCTCAAGAACCTCATTATCTGCCACCAGAGATGCCTCAAGGTAAGTCATTCTGTTTACTGGGGTTGGAAAAGTCCGTTTGGAATATGTAGCATTTTCTTATATTAGGTTATAATATAATAATTTGTTATAACAAACTACTGTGGTCAAACTACTTGACCCCATCAAAGACCCTCAATGGATTCTTTGCCTTTTCTTGAATAACTTTATCTAACCCTTTGTTCCTCAAGAAAATTCACTGTAATCTTCGTTATCTCTGACCCTGAAAAAAATGTAAGTATTAGTGCTGTTTTCCCATTTAATAAAAAAGCAAAATGGAAATAAAACCAAAACATAAAAAAAAAAGAACAACATCTAAAATCCTTTCAAAACTGTCTACATTGTGAGATCAGCTCACTTACACCCTCTTCTATTAAATCATAAGATTTGATGTAATCAGACCACTTTAACGACAGAAAGCAAAGAAGAACTAAAGAACCTCTTGATGAGGGTGAAGGAGGAGTGTGAAAGGGGTAGCTTAAAACTAAATGTTAAACAACTAAGATCATGGCATCCGGCCCCATTACTTCACAGCAAATAGAAGGGGAAAAGGTGAAAGTAGTGACAAATTTCCTCTTCCTGGGCTCTAAAATCACTGGAACCATGAAATCAGAAGACAGCTACTTCTTCGCAGGAAAGCTATGACAAACCTAGACAGTGTGTTGAGAAGCAGAGACATAGCTCTACCAACAAAGGTCCGTATAGTCAAGGCTATGGTCTTCCCCGTGGTCACGTATGGTTGTGAGAGCTGGACCGTAGAGAAGGCAGAGCACCAAAGAATTGATGCCTTTGAACTGTGGTGTTGGAGAAGACTCCTGAGAGTCCCTTGGACAGCAAGGAGATCCAACCGGTCCATCCTAAAGGAAATCAGTCCTAAATATTCATTGGAAAGACTGATGCTGAAGCTGAAACTCCAATGTTTTGGTCACCTGATGAGAACAGCTAACTCATTGGGAAAGCCCCTGATGCTGGGAAAGATTGAGAGCAGGAGGAGAAGAGGGTGGCAGAGGATGAGGTGGCTGGATGGCATCACCGAGGCAATGGCTGTGAATGTGGGTGAGAGATGGCGAGGGACAGAGAGGCCTGGTGTGCTGCAGTCCATGGGGTCACAAAGAGTTGGACGCACCTTGGCGCCTAAACAACAGCAACAGCCAGACTGAAGAGAAGCTTTCTTGTTTCATGGTAGGTAGAGAGCTTTTCTTGTGCCATTGGCCATGAGCATGCTACTGGCTCTCAGGAGAGACAGGTTAGACAGAGATGGAGATGGAGAGGACTTTGTGAGTTGACTGTAGAAAAATAAGGCTGAGCTCTGCTTTCTTTGCCTTGATCTTGTTATACCCTTTGCATTTTGGTTTTGTGAAATAGTGCATCTTCTTATTGTTTAAGCCAGTTCAAAATTGTGTTTTCCCTTAATTATTAATAACATAGTATCTTAACATACACATACCATTTTATATACTAGCGGGCTAATATTTGTGCCTTCAGTTCCAGACTAGTTTGGAAATAATGTCAACCTCTGTGTGTGTATATTATTAAATTGAAAAATTGAAACTACAAATATAAATTTTAAAATACTTTACTAAAGAGAGTAAATTACTTTCTTATTACTTAGAAATAAAATATGGAATATAATTATGTATGATCACATATATAATATATAATATACTGATAGTTAATAATGTAATATATTAATATACTATGCAATAATACATCATCATTTTATTATAGTATATTATCATATGTGTTTGATGAGATGTTTGCCTATTAGTAGTAATTTAAATTTTAGAATATAGTTTCAGTGTTTTAATCATAATATTATATACTTTAATTTTTCTTACTGTTTCACCCCATGGTGTACTCTTTGAGAGTAGTGTGAATTAAATCTGCTTTCTACTCTAAATTGTTACTTTTCATGGGTGAGTATACAAATGGATACTTCTGTAGCTGAGCTGAGCCGTAATTTCCAGAGGAATTAATTGGTACTAGACGACTAGTACCCTTTGCTTCTCATATTTTACCCTTATGTTGTCAGCAGACTTATTTATTTATTTATTTTTGCATTCTTTATGATTTCCTTTATTTAAATATTAAAAAAACAATAAAATGGAAGCCATGATAATGTTTTATTTGGTGTATGTATGACTATAAGGAGGTTTAAAAGAGTCTTCTTAGGGTGCCACTAATATTCTATGTATGACCTGGGCAGTGTTTTACCAAGCATGTTCACTTCATGAAAATCCATCCAAGCTATGCTTAAAATTTACTTTTCAACTTTCTTAAATTTTTATTTTACATTGAAATATAGTTGATACACAATATTGAGTTAATTTCAGGTGTACAACAAAGTGATTTAGTTGTACATACACAAATATCTATTCTTTTTTAGATTTTTTTTCCATATAAGTTATAACAGAATCCTGAGGAGAGTCCCCTGTACTGAAGAGTAGGTCTTTGTTAATTGTCTATTTTATGTTTAGTAATGTATATAACGTGAATCCCAAGCTCCTAATTTACTGCCCATCCCCCCCACACGCACTTTACCCTTTGGTGACAACAAGTTTGTTTTCTGAGGCTGTGAATCTGTTTTTGTTTTGTAAATAAGTTCATGTGCAATGTTGTTCTTTATATCCCACGTATAAGTGGCATCATATATTATTTGTCTTTCTCTGTCTTACTTCACTTAGTATGATAACCTCTAGGTCCATTTATGTTATTGCAAATGGCATTATTTCATTTTTATGCTTGAGTACTATTCCATTGTACATACATACCACATCTTCTTTACCTATTCATCTCTTGATGAAAATTTAGTTTGGCTATTGTAAATAATTCTGCCGTGAACATGGGGGTGCATGTATCTTTTCGAATTATGGTTTTATCTGGATGTATTCCCGGGAGTGAGATTGCTGGATCAAATGGTAGTTCTATTTTTAGTTTTTTAAAGAACCTCCATACTGTTCTCCATAGTTGCTGTACCAGTTTGCATTAGTGTATGAGGTTCCCTTTTCTCTAAACTCTCTCCAGTATTTGTTTTAGTGGGCTTTTTGATGATGGCCATTCTGACTGGTATGAGGTGATACTTCACAGTAGTTTTGATTTGCATTTCTGTAATTAGCGATGTTGAGCATTTTTCCAGGTGCTTTTTGACAGTTTGTCTTCGTTGGAGAAATGTCTGTTTAGATCTTCTGACTATTTTTTGATTGGGTTATTTGTTGTAGACTCATTTAGTTGTGTATTGTAGGTTTGTATTTTCCTTCAAAAGGTACATAACCTTATTTTCCTGGTACATCTTAATTAAAGAAACTTCTGTAATATTTTATCTGTGCTTTCTCTGAGGTATATTTAGACTGAATTTTTATATAAAAGTAGAAGGGGTGGGCTGTGATGCACATATTTTGACTGTTTATCATCAGAGAACAATCAGAAAGATGTTGATTTATGGAAATGTTACCATTGTTAATTACCATTGAAAATGGGTAATGAATAACTGAAGAGTTACTGCTCAGATGACCTTGTTGGTTCACCTTTGATGAGCAGCTTAATCGGTGGTTACAGTACAGGATGATGTGCACAGAAAATGAAAGTGTTTGAAATTCAGCCACATCTTTCAATTAATAAGACATTAAGTAATTAATCATGCAGAGGAGGGAAAAAGGTCATGGCCACTTTATTTTTGCAAATGCAGTTTGTATTTGGTTTTTGTAGGTGTTGAAAGAAAGTATGTATCTGTTCTTTTGCTGTTCTCTTTTTATAATCTACACTACTTTTTTTTCATTTTCCTTCTGATATTCCTCTAAAATCCTCACTGAACATTATTCATAATTTGGAAAAAAGGAGATAGATTTACCCTATTAAAATTTTATGAATGGTCCATTTATTTTAAAATAGACATGTTTATTTTTCTCAATTATTAAAAATGAGAAAACTCAAACATTTAGCAGCCCAAAAATAAGGCTGAGTCTCTGATGCAAACATATTTTTCCCCTTTGGAACTACTTAAAACATAAAAAAAAAAAAATACAGTTGATTTCCAATGTTGTGTTAGTATCAGGTATATAGCAAAGTAAATCAGTTATACTTATTTTGGATTGGCCAAAAAGTTCATTTTTGGCTGTTTCTGTAAGATGCCTAGTTAGCGCAATGGTGAAGAATCCACTTACCAATGCAGGAGATATCCCTGGGTCGGCAAGATCCCCTGGAGGAGGAAATGGCAACCCACTCCAGTTTTCTTGCTTGGAAAATTCCAGGGACAGGGGAGCCTGGAGGGCTGCAAAGAGTCAGGCATGTCTTAGCAACTGAGTGTGCGTGCTACAGAAAAATCCAAATGAACATTTTGTCCAACTCAATGCATATACATATACATTCACATATACGTATACATGTACATATGGCTTCCTAGGTGGTGCTAGAAGATGTAAGAAGAGATGTGGGTTCGATTCCTAGGTCAGGAAGATCCCCTGGAGGAGGGCATGGTAACCCACTCCAGTATTCTTGTCTGGAGAATCCCATGGACAGAGGAGTCTGGTAGACTACAGTCAGTAGGGTCCCAAAGAGTTGTATCCCACTGAAACGATGGTATTGAGCATGCATGCACTCATATGTATACATATATTCAGTCTTTGTTAGATTCTTTTCCCACATAGACCATTACAGAGTATTGATTAGAGTTCCCTGTGCTATACAACAATTTTATAAATATAATGTGTGTATGTCAACCCCAGTCTCCCAATTTATCCCTCTCTCTCTTACCCTCTTTGTTTTCTACATCTGTAACTCTGTTTTGATACGTAAGTTTATTTGTACCCTTTTTTAGGTTTCAGATATGAGCAATATTATATTTGTCTTATTCTGTCTGAATTCTTCACTGTGTATGATAATGCCTATCTAGGTCCATCCATTGTGCTGCAAATGACACTATTTTGTTTTTATTCACTGAATAATATTCCATTGAATATATGTACCACATCTTCTTTATCTATTCCTCTGTTGATTGATGGCATTTA